AGATATTTGTTAGTAGTAGTAGATGGATACACAGGTTGGCCAGAAGCTATCCCTTGCAGAAGAGAAGATGCAGACTCAGTGATCAAATTCCTAGTCACGCATTACATTCCATTACATGGATTTCCTAGGAAAGTGAGGTCAGACAATGGCAGCCATTTCAAGAACCATGACCTACGCACAGTAGAAGAGTCCCTAGGACTAAGACACAGTTTTGGAGCAGTTTATCATCCACAGTCTCAGGGAAAAGTGGAAAGGATGAACCAGAACTTAAAACAAAAACTCAGCAAAGCATGTGAAGAGACGGGCATGAAATGGGTAGACGCATTGCCTCTGGCTCTTCTGTCAATCAGGAGCTCCATTAACAAAGGGACAGGTTTCTCTCCATTTGAGCTCACTTATGGTCACCAGTTCCCAGGTCCAGGAGCCCTAAGTGTAGGAAAGGAAGTAGAGGTTCTGAGTTCGAAACCATACTTCCAGCAACTTAAGGGATTAGTGGCAGATTTTTCCACCCAGGTTGCAGAGGCAAAAGGGGGACCCGAGAAACACGAAGCGAACACTGCGGAGTTCGTCTGGCTGAAAGCGATCAGACCCAAGTGGCTGAGACCCAGGTTCTCTGGACCCCATCGGGTGATGCAGAGGACATCTCACGCTGTCCGCTTGGAAGGGAAAGGAGACATCTGGTACCACTGGAATCAGTGCGCAGTGGGGAAACCTCCGGGAAGGACCCTAGACGACATCATCACGGACGTGGTCCGCGCAGAGGAGGAGGAACCAGAGGACAACACTCCTATCACCGACCCAGAAGTCGCCATAAGCGGGCGGGCTGAAGAGGACGGCGAGGAACGGTCCTGAGGGAACGAGGCAGAGCGGGGTGGATCAACGCTTCCAGATGGCGTCTGTCTCCTCCACCGGAGGCTGGCGTGTGAAAGCTGTCATCATCCTCCTCGTGCTGGGCCTGCTGTACCTGTCCAAGGTAGCCCCGCTTGATGAAGCTGTGACCATTCCAACGACAGGTGGCCCAGACTCTGAGGGCAAAATCACACCAACGGGCCAATCAGTGCCTAGCGACAAAGACAGGGTGGCGACTACACGGTGTGGGAAGCGTATCCAGGGACGCGGTATCAGGAGTTCCGGGTCTCGTCAGGGATGGTAAGAATAACACTCAACACCATTGCAAATATGCCCCCAGAACTGTGGTGTAGCACGGCAGAACAGTTAAAATATGAGTCCCAGTGCACGGCACGGAAGCCAGATTACAAAGCTCCCAATTCGGGGGTCACTGGATGTGCATTTATTGAACCAGAGCATGAAACAGATTTTTCTAATTTAGGGGTCGCCGGACACGCCTCTATTAGAACATATATTGAACCATATCATGAAACAGGTTCTCCGGAAAAAGCCCTAATATCCACTCCACTTAAACAAACAGGAGAGGATGTAGATTCTTCAAAAAAGGCCTTAATCGCTCCACCTAAACTAACTAAAACCAATTCGGCAATGAGTTTAATGTTAGACTATGCACATGAACGCAATGTTAGCAACTGTTGGCTGTGCCAAAACATGCCAGAATCCGTACATTCTCCCATGTTTAGCCCAATTCCTTTCACGAAAGCGGACTACGGTTTAGTTAGCTGGAATGACATAGCATCCCGCATTGGAGATGAGGCCGAGGATTGTTACACTCCTTCGTATCCAATAAACTCTGAGAAACCTCTACAATACAAGGGTTTAATCTCGCTCATTGTTGAGACAGTAAATAAGGATTACCTGCCAGAGGGGTTCAAACAGTTGACGGTCCTAAGACTAATATATGTGAAGAAATATATTAACCTAGCTTTTGAATACAGATTCCAATTAGCTCTAGCCCAGACTAATTGCTCGGTTAACTTTACCAGTCCAATATGTACACTGCAACCACACACTCCATCTTTATTAGTTGAGGCTTTGGTAACAGTAGTGCCCTGGTTCGGCTCCAGAACAGTGGACTCAGTTGAGGTTAAAATACATGACTGTTCGCAGCCATTACCCTTAGGTAAGTCCCCTACCCGTGACTGTTCTGTCTATGTTCCCCCAGTTGTAGTACATGAGTGGAAGAATGTGTCCATCTGTTTCCAGAATGAAAGAGGATCTCTTACCTCTCCAGATGTGGGCCACAGCGACTGTAATACCGTAATAAAGGTGCAGTTAGCCAGAACGCCCCTCCCGCAGAGGGTTTACTTAGTTTGTGGGGACCGAGCCTATGGCTGTATGCCTTATGACATTTTCTATGGCACCTGTTACCTGGCCTATCTAATCCCTTTAATCCGTAAAGTGAAGACTGATGAGATTGCAGCTATACTTCCCTCTCTACATAGAAACAGCAGGTCGATTACAGAAGGACAGCGGATGGCTAGTCTATTTTTACCATGGTACGGTATTTATGTTTCTCAGCAGGAAATTGTGGCGTTGTCCAAAGTAGTGGAAAATCACTTAAATGCATCTAACACAGCCATGTTAGCCGAACATAAGGAATTACAGGAGGTTAGGACTGTAGCATTACAAAATCGTATGGCACTGGATCTTTTATTAGCCGCCCAGGGGGGCACATGCAAGGTGATTGGATCTGAGTGTTGTTCTTTCATCTCTGATGCTACACCTGAGGTCATGGATATGGCTCATGATACCGCCAGGGGGATAAAAGAGTTGCATGAAACTCATGGGTTTACCCTTGGGGATTTAACTGGAACTTTTGGATCGTGGGGTGCGGGGTTGGTTAAATTTGCAGTGACCGTTTCAATGTTTATCTTAGTTGTGCTAATTGTGATAATCTGCTTGGTCACTGTAGTTAAACTAGCCATACGAAAGATGACCAAAACCGCCCTCCAGGCTCCACAGAGACTAGTGGGATATTCCACAGTGGATGACTCCGTGTTGATGTACGACGCCCAGCTTTCAGATCCGTGGGGCACAATCACGGCTTCTGCTCCATGGGGACCCCCACAAAATGAATGACAAGTTGATTAAAATTGACACTCAGAATGTAGAAGATGTATATAGATTTTACCTTTTCGGGTTTTTACACTACGCAATAAATGTCTGATTCTTCTTTTTCAGATTTTTAAACAATGTATTTGACTAAAATGAATGTATAGATAAGTGCCTTACTTTTGACTAAAGCGTAGTGAAGTAATGTTAAAGCTTGAGGACACTGCAATTTTGCAGATTACGGATTAATCGAATCACCACTGTGAATGCTATACTTTGAACTGTGAATTTCAACTGGACCTTTACAATCCAGATTTTATACCTCAGGTGGATTGCTAATAATCCTAAATGTTAAATGTGTTTTTACTATAATTGTCTTGAAGCAAATCTTTGAGATGCAAGCTATTTTTAAAGTTTGTAATTTGATGATTAAGGAGGACTAAATGATAAATGATAAAAGAGGTTATTTGGAAACATATATTTTACTATTTTCTTCTATATATTTTTTTGGTATGTTTATTTTTGTGCTATTGATGGACGATTTGTCTAAACACTGAGGATATATTTTGGTATTTCTACACGGTCATATGAAGTTGATATGTGGAGCCATTCCTGAATGTTTAAATAGTCTGAATCCCAGGTTATAATGTGAGTGTCTTGAAATAGTTGATCTCTTAAAATGAGACCAAAAGGGGGATTTGTAGAGTTATATTTGTATTTATTCATGTTAGCAAACTATGGATAAGCTTAAAATGGGAATAATTTGGGTGGAACTGTGAGCTGGATGTGGGGCCTGTTTGACATATGTTTTTGAGGACAAAGGAAGATGGGGGAAGGTGAGAGCATGTCTTGAGTTGCATTCAATTTAGATCTAGCTACAGTGATTGGGGAAGCCTAAGGTCTAAGGTGTCTGTGATATTTGGGGCGGCCAATCAATGATGTCCGAATGGGAGGATCTGATAACTCCTCCCATTGTCACAGAGTAGAAACACAGAAACACACGCGGTGTTCAGCCTCTTTCCTCTGGCTGGCTCACGTGCAGGTAAATTCGGGATCCCAAAGATTAACTGTATTGAATTTGTACTGTATTGATTGTATTATTTTGTCATATTACCATTAAAGTAGATATTGTTTACTTGGTGGCACTGGATTTCTTCCTGTATTATAACCAGCTTCATAGGAACGCGCGGAGATTTGAAAAGCGGATCAGATATCCCTTTATATCTCTAACAGTACTTGACTGATTTTGTATCGCTTTGCATTCTGGGTTAACAGACTGGAAAGCGATAGGTCGCTTTTCCTGTCAATCAAGTAAACTCCTGTGGCAGGGAGCGGGAGGAGGGATCAAAACCTGTTTTGTCTATTTTAACCTTTATATATACAGTCTATGATTTTAACCTATGATTTTAACGGAGCTGGATTTTTTTTTATGAATGACTCGCGATCTACCAGCATTGCCCCCGCGGTCGACCGGGGGGACGTACTGGGCACCTCTGCCTTACACACACAAATTCTGAAATATCAGCACAGCATCGTATCCAAAATATCACAAAAAAGTAATCATAGTATGAAAAACTGCGTTGTATAGTAAATATCAAAAGTATAGTGTATCAAAAATGTATGCAACAAATGCATAGTTTGTGAAAGGATGTCCTGAGTCCGTAGGTCCTCATGTTAAACCTCAGGATTTCTCGACTTTCACTATATAGTAGCCTACACATAGTATGTCACAAATATGACAAAATATGACAAATTGTGATAATGTTGTATGTCAGTTTTCTTTTAAATCATAAAAAACAACAAAGTATAGTCTTTTAAAAATAAATGTAACACAAGTCATTTTGTTGAAATGACATTGAAACAATATTTCATGTGAAGAACAGGCATATTGTTGTTGTTGAACATAAATAAATATACGAACATATTGAAACATAATTGTTGTGTTGAAGAACTGCATGAACCTGCTGTTTATTGACATGAATGTAATCAATTAAATCCACACAAACATTATATATATAAAAAAGCAAACACAGTGATGATATTTTTTTTAATGTCTTTATTTAAGCTAAATTCATCCAGAAAACTCAAGCAGAAACTAAGACGTCCACCTGAGCTCCGGGTCTCTACGGGGTCTTAGCTGCTGTTGTATCCGAGGGAAGGCGCCTCCTGTCCGGGCTGACCGACCATCAGTCACCAGCCGCTCACTTCCTGCGGCGGGAGGCAGCTCCCTTTTTGCTGCTGCAAAGCGCAAAGAGCAGAAACAGAGTCAGATGTGTGCAGTGATCCTCTTATGGTGGGTGTAATTATAGATGGATACCCATTTCATAACATAGCAAAGGGTGGGAAACAAACAAACTACTGGAACAATTTCTTGAAGCTACATTGCCCCCTGGTGTTTAAACAAGCTAGTTACAACAATATACCTAAACAGTTGTTAACTATGTTATCAAAATGAAATCTGAAGTCAAACCAATCATAAAAGTTAGCCAAATGTTGTATTAGGTTGTGGAGTTTAACTAAATAGAAGTATTGTACTTAAGTAACGTTTTGAGACTTAAAGTAACCAATTGACCATTGGCAATATTCAAATGCACTTGACAGGACAGAAATCTCTATCTTTAAGAAATACTATGAGTCTGTGTTGAACTGTGTTCAGAGTTCATTTGATTGTCTGAGGGCCTTACTGTTTCTGCAGCTCATCAATGCGGTTCCTGAGAGAGATCACCTGGAAGACAAACAGTGGTGTTTAAAGCAGAAATATCAGGGAAATGACTTTCACACCTCGAGAACTTTGATATTATCTGTTTTGAGCTGCAACATGCAGCTTTTTCCACATTAAATGACCACCAATTGAACACAGTCCACAGTTTTTAAGTGAATCCTGTTTATCTAAAAATAAGTATAGGGAGAGAAGTTTGGTCCGATTTTTGAAGATTGACTAGTTTTTAACTATTCATGGTATCATTGTTCAAATGACCCAAAACAATTATGTGTTAAACCTCAATTACTGTAGAAAGCCCTTTTCATACAAACATAAATACTGACGTGATCATAATAAATGTCAACCAAAGCAATGGAGGAAAAACAACGAGAGGATTCTGACCTATCAACATGTATCAGTGAGCGTGACAACACCCTTTTTATTTATTTAAGAAGTGCTGAAGTCTTGCTTATGTTTTTAGTAACCAAAACTAAATTCAACTTATGTATCTAGAAATCTGAACAAGGTATTTACTTCTTCGACAGATACAGTATGCTCCATGAAATCAATGTAAAAGTTTTCAATTGTAGTCTTTGATGTGTGAACAAACTAATACACCATTTGCTCACTGACCTCATATCTCTGTCTCTTGAGCCTCTCACAGTGGTCGTATTTAATGGTCTCCAGGTCGTGCAGCCACTCCCACAGCTCCTTCGCCTTATCCCTGACAAACACAAATCAAACGTTCAATAAACAAAGTTTAACAGCAGCTGGAAGTGATATGTTGCTTCATGCAAGTGAATCTGGGGTGATCTTAAATATGACTTTTCTATTTTCTGATTCTGTTGTTGTTTTGCACAGATAAAACATTATTATCTTAAAGGGATTACACTAAAAAGTCCAAAGTCTGTTTGCGATGCATAATACCTTGAATCCATTATTATCTAATCAGCAAACAGTAATTAGTACCAAGGCTTAAGTAACACTTAATCATATGACTCTATTCTCTCTCAAACCTCAGTCGCTTTGGATAAAAGTGTCAGCTAAATGCAATGTAATAATGTAATAATAATTAGTTTTCTCTTTCTTTAATAATACACTGTATTTTTCTACAATGTAAAATGTATTTTTTTTTAAGTCTTCAAGGTGTGTATATTTGTATTAATGGATTTAGTTCTAGAGATTTAACAAACATATTGATAGGACATTCTGATGAATTAAAGCCTATATTTGATTACAGTTTGGCACCATTAAAGGGACAGTTCAACCCAAAATCAGAAATAGAGATCTATGCAGATTGATGCTTCTGACAAATGGACATGAACAGCGCGTAGCTTTTTGTGTACAAAGAGGGGTGTATTGTTTATTAGTTGACACTAAATGAAGATATACATTTGTGGTGATTATGCAGCAACTAACCATATCACTTTTTCTTTCAGGAATGTGAAGGTTTTGTGTTGTGAAGATTTCATTTAAACATTTGAATGATGATTGTGCATCAGTGATCAATGCTCTGGTGTCACTGCTGTGTTCTTTAGACTGTGACTGTGTGTTACCCCAGATCTGCATCGCTGAAATCATCATCAACATCAAGAGGTTTGCATCTCTCTGCCATGATCTTTTTCTTCTTTTCTCTTTCAGTCTGCTTCTTGCCTCTCTTCCCTTCAATCTAAAACAAACAACAACCAACATTTTGTATGACGTTAAAGCAACAGTTTCAAAATAAAACAAAACACAAATAAAGGAATACAAAATGACCTTCTGCAGGTGGCTGCTGTAGCCTGATCCCATGCTGCTCAGCACGTTCTTCTTCTTGGCGTCCTCCTCCATCTTCCTGTGGACGTCTGCCTCCTCCCTTTTCTGACGCTCAGCCTTTAAGATTAAGTGTAAAATATGACAGTTAGACAGCTTGACAAATGGAAGGAAAACCACTTAGTTATGAACTGGTTTTAATGTTTCTAGATGCCCCAATCAGTTTAAAAGTAACTTAACAGTGCCTGAAAATCTTGTGTTTTGCTGGCCTCCAGTCATTCAACACATCACTTGGTTGCAGTGATGTAGAAATGTATTCGGTACACTCTGACATAACTGCTAGTTGTGACGTGGTATAGGCAAAAATATAGATCGGTCAAAAGCTCGTACTGTAAATAACAAATGATGGGAACTTGTGAAGGTGAATCTATTTGAACAGGTCAGGAACACGTACCTCTCGCCTGGCCTGCCTCTCTTTATCCTTCTCAGAACGAATCCTCTGCTGCTCAGCTCGCTCTGCGCGACGCTTCTCCTGAAAACGCAAATTAAAACGCAATGCTGCAAAGCTGTGCAATATTTGAGCCAAAGTTTTAGTAGTCTGGTGTATTTCTACATATCTGCAGTGATCCTTATGAATCATACTGAAAGCAGGCCTACAGTATGAATAGACATTCTGCTGCAGGTTATCTATTGCATGTGAAATGCATGTTTTGTTTTCAGGTAAAATCTCACAATTCTGTCTTTGAGTCCCAGGAGCTCCTCCTCCTCCTTCTTCCTGGACTCAAAGTGAGCGTCGATCAGCGACTGCAGCTCATACAGGTCCTTGTTTTGGCGTTTCTTCTGGATGTCCTGTACGAGGCAAACAGGAAATGGCAGTTATTAACGGACAGGACAGAGGTTGTTGGCTCCAAACCCACAAATGTATACCCAGCCTTTGAAAGTGAAACAGTTATAAGACAGGGAAAGAGATAATACATGCAAATGTTCATTGTTTGTGCTTACAATGGTCTAATTAAATACAAACAAAAACACCAGTAAGAAAAGCATATACAGTAACTTGCTGTTGCTGCCCTAATGCCACTTGGAAAATATTGTTTTACTGAAAAATATTTGGTAACTGTTCGCATTTCTATAGCAGCTTTAATCTAAATTGTAGTTTTTAAGTCTTTGTTTTTTAAGTCTCTAATTACTGTTTGACCTTCTTTGTTGTTGCTTGTTTTTAATTATGCTCTGTAAGGTGTCCTTGAGAGCTTTGAACGGCGCCCATAAATAAAATGCATTATTATTATTAAATGGCTTCACACAACACTACTGTATAACATGCGAGTAGGAGATTATTGGTTTAAATGACTTACATCAAAGTCCACTTTCTCACCATCTGGGATCTTGGGAGCAGGGGGTCTGTTGAAGGGAAATAAGAACAAGAAGAAGTAACTTCAATCTGCCAGCAATGTAACACATAATGGATTTCATGAAGGGCAATAAATGGACTTACTTGAACTTTGGCTTCTCCTCTGTTTTGTTTTTTTCAGGAACAGTGAGAAAAGACAGATATCACACTGTTAGAAATATGATTTTGGTGAGAGATGAATATTCTGCTGGTTAATCAGGGGGAGATCCATGTGAACAAGCTGAGTTACATCTGTTTCACATCTCCAGTAGATAACAGTCGTTTGAGTGGTCAGTGGTCCAATTCCTGTGTGTTAGCCTCTGTTGTAAGCAATGTCAGTCCACAGATTGTTCCTTTATTTTGAGTTAATATATTGTGCATTAGTGTGTCAATCAAACCAATAGAATCAGAGACATTTGAGGTGCTAATCAGGATCAGTACGGCGTGTGTCATACATCACCACATGAACTATGTAAGGGTTTATTTTCTGAACATCATCGCACACCTTTCACAAACGGGAGTTTGACAGTGTAATTACTGTTAATTGATGTGCAAAGAAAACACAGATGGGATTGTAACAGAAACAAATAACTAAGTTTGTGATTAGCTTTTTTCTATGGGACCCTCACACTATAAAAAGACAACAGACAACACGGGAGGAAAAACGCAAGCAAGCAACAGCGACTCAGCAGGAAATACAAACTACCGTCTTGATCGCCCTCGTCATCTGGCAGAAAACATTCATGCAAAAAAGAGAAGAAGCAGACATGAGCAGTGGGGCCCGTAACCATGACTCATCATTTCTGAATCCTCTACCCTGATCCCCCACGCCGCTAAAACACACAGATACTTTCTGGCTTCCGCTAAAGGAAGATCAGTGAAACAATCTTTATATGTTCATGTGCGGAAGGTGAGAAAGGACAGAAGAACGTTAGGGCCAGGCATAGAGGGAAAAGACCAGTTGGACCTTTAGTTTGCATTATGAGAATGAAGTCGAAAAGAAAATGATATGAAGTTGAAATGAAATGTTGAGAATAAAATCAAAATATTAAAGTTAGAATGTTGAGGGAAAGAATAACATAAAAATGTATAGAATAAAGTAAATATTTAAACAATAAGGTAGAAATGTAAAGAATAAAGTAGAAATTCAAAGAATAAATAAAAAATGTAAAGAATAAAGTAGACATTTAAAGAATACATTAGAAATGTAAAGAATAAAGTAGAAATCTCTGCTCCAATGAAGAGAACAAAGCCATCAAGAATGACTCATTTTGGGAAAGAAGTTGAAATGTCTAGAATATAACAAACCAAGAGAGCGTTACAGAAAGTTTGACTTTGGAAGCATTTCGATGATATTCTCAACGTTTCAACTTTCTTAGACTACAATCTTCTTGTTCCCATTTGTTCCCCTCATGCTTGGCCCTAATAGTCTCCTGTGGTGAAAGAGTCCTCTGCAGACAGGGAAACAGAAACAGGTCTAATCGACGAACAGAGAAGAATACAAATCCACATACCTTCCTCTTCATAGGCGTCTGCATGCAGCAAGCGTCCAAAGCAAGAGCAAAAACAAAAGAATCATTAGTGGTTGGACTGGTCAAGCCTGCTCCTGTCCTCTCTACATTGCAGAGTTTATGCAGCACCTTTAACCTGGCAGCCACTGCAGGAGTACCATGACAGTGGCTTTTGAAACAGGGATCTCCAGAGCAGCGATGTCTGGGCATTATATCAGCCAGCGTACAGCGAGGCCTGGGACTTCTGCAATTGCTCCATTTGTTTGAAGGTGTCTTCACAGATCATAAAAGCATTTCAACAAACAAAACAACATTTCCATGTAAGAATTGAATAGTGATGACAAATGCTTTTCATTGCAACACCCCAATGCTTTAGAGCAGTTTGCCAGACTCACTCTTCATCTACTCATGGAAATAAATATGCTAAACATGGACTGAACGGAGGCAAAGAAGAACAACTTTTACATGACTGAAATTACCCATCATGCTTCCTGTTACAGCCTTAAAGATGAGCTTTTCCAAAATGTAAATATTGGCAAAAGAACAAAACAAGACAGGGCAGTTCATTCATGTAAAAGCAGCTGATTGTTTTCTTCTCCCTCACAACATTTATATGCACATATTCAAAGCACACATATGACACTGAGCGATAACATGTTTTGTTTGTTTGTGGTGTCGGCTAACACTGATGGGGATGTGATATGATAACTGTGGATATTTTATAAAGCAAAACCCAAATGTTTGCTGAAGTGCACTCTAAAACATGGCTTATTGGAGGAGCCCCAAGACAAAGGCACTTGAGGGGTCTTCAATAAAACATGACTAGTGCAACACACACTGGCCTTGTCATGCCAAGCCGACCCGGGAGGCACATGTGATAAACCGCAGCTTTTTGATGCGAGATGACCCAATGTTGGACACTTACATGGAAAACCACGAACAAGGTTATAAATTGATTCTTTATACTATTTGTTCTCTTAAACTAATGTAAAATGTTTTTGCCAGAAGAGTGTGATACAGCAGCATTGTAGAGTAATGTGTAGTGCTCGCTCCACCAACATTTCTACGGAAATTGACAAAATTGTTCGTTTGGATTTTAAAGAAATGTTTTGGTTAGCTAAACTTACCAATTACATTATAATTAGGCCTAACTTAGGGGGAAACATTTTTGCACCGTCTCTAAAAGCAGAGTTTCGGCTTTGTGAAGATGCAAATATGAGCAAAAAAGCTCATCATAAATACATTCTACATTGATAAATTGCATTTGATTTGTTTTGCAGCAAGGTGATGCTGACATGTCTTTGATGCTACGGTGCAGAGTGCTGAGTGTCCTGCAGGAGAACGGTGAAGGGACTGCCCATGCCACGTACCTTCCTCCTCATGAACCTCCTCTGGCTCTGGCTCTGGTTCTGGTTCAGGCTCTACCTCTGGCTCTGCTTCTACCTGGGCCTCCGCCTCAGGGGCTACTTCTACTTCTACTACCTCCTCCTGGGCTACGGGTACGCAGCATGCACCAAACCGTCGGGTAGAGGGAGGGTGTCGCAGAAGGACGTTAATGAAGACCACAGACATGACAAAAAGTGAGAGATTACTTTAGTTACAGAGAGGATGGATGGGTGAGTGATGGACAGAGCTGCTGGAGAGAGAGAAACACATGATAATGAGAAAAAGTCAGTTGACCTTTCACACAGAAGCAATATTGAACTGTTCCGGCAGAAAACTTACTGAGGGTGTATATTTATTTTCTTGCAAGTTGTTTGCTTCCACAATATGGTAAGTATGATGGGTGCTAATGATCCCTTATTACTATAGTTTACTGCGACATCACTTACATTACATTTTCCACTGTATAGTTTTCTTTTAAGGAAAATATTTGAGTTGATGTAGTTTTTCTATAGAGATTTCATACCGTGTAGGTTTTTACCAAGTTTCAACATCTACTGCTGAAAAATGAAGTAAATGCCTCCTCTTTCCATTTTTGATTAGCCGGCAGTCAGTGTACTCATCTGTTTAGGTATTGTGGTTGGGTTAGGTTTGTAACAAGAGTCTCATCCTTTTTCTGAAAATATGATACAACTAATTGGTAATTGTGCTACTAATGATTCACAGTGATGAACACTGTTTTCGGACTATTTAAAAAATGTTGTATGGTTTAAATGTCTTTTGCATGTTTCCTCTATATGCTACAGCCGTTGTTAAGACATTTAAATACAGGCTGTTATTTTCATGGGGTTAAATGTGCTTGCTTTCCACCCTCCTCACTATTTGTATTATAATCTTAAAATATTTTAACATTGATGGTGCGCTCCAGTTCTACCAGAAAGACAGAATGTCAGACTTCCCAGTCGGAGATTTCAACTAGAACGGCCCCTGAAGTCGAATTTCTGACTGGCAAAGTCTGAGACAACCTCTCCAACTCAATGTTAGAATCCAAGATGGCTGTGTCGCACATGCACTAAGTGGAAGCTGCAGTTATATACTGTTTATAAGACACATCACAGTGCTTTCAAACCTTGTGTGTACAGGTCAATATTATGTTGGTATGAGAAACCAATGCTAAGTGCATTGTTATCATTGTTTACTTACTATGGCTAACAATGGCTCCGAGGTAAATCAGATGCACCATTATTTATCCAGTTAGCATTGAGTTTTTTCCTGGTATGGTAGTAAACTGACTGCTAAATGTAAGTTGTTGCAGTAGTTTCTGCCAGCATGACCTATGTGAAGTTTTATGAGAATCATCCAGGTAGTTTTCCACCTTTACTGTTGAAATATGGCCGTTGTGTGAATGAGGTCAATGACAGTTGTATTGATGTGACATCAACATATGACAATGTAGACATGTCACATACCAAGAAATAAAATGTAAAATGAATAGAATCTCACTCACATTTATTTCTCAACCATGTGATTCAAAACATCACTCCGAAATAGTCACCCTTAACTTGGACATGTTTGACTTACAGCTATAAAGAAGAAACATCTACTCTTCCTTTTTGTTTGGACAATTAAATATTTTATAAGATTTTTTTTGGTAGAGGTTAAAGGTAGAAACGATGCAGTGAAAATACGTTTTCATAGTTGTACTTGGCATTCTGGACAGCTGCACATCCTGTATGAAGCTGGTGCAGCATCAAACACTTCAAATTAAGGGTGAAATCAGGCAGCTATCAAATAAGTGCAATAGAGAAAAGTTCTGAAATATGGAATCAATTCAGTCATCTTTACCTTCCTCGTCTTCAGATGGGGAAAAAGAAGTTTGGAAAAACGGAGAGAAATACAACCTTTTGTCACAAATACATACAAAATATTCTCCAAGCTGACCATGATATAAATAACACGTTTTTAAAAGACCAATTAAGTTTGTACGTAAACATTTACAGTATATGAGGCACATTTTATAGTAAGTATTTTCATTACATTCAAAATATAAGGTCAATAAATTAATTATATACTGTATATAAATGTCACATCCAAACAAAGCCATACCAAATACCCCAAAATTGAATATAAATCTAACAAAATGTGTATTTTGTTTTTCAATGTAGTCAAACAATCTGAGTAGGCTAGTTGCTACTTACCCTCAACATGATCCCTGAAATATAAAAGATAAGACATTCAGAATGAAACAGGAAATGCACGACTTTATTTGTTATTGAATGGACATTAAACAGCAATGTGTATTACAATTGACACTTACAAATCCTCTGTGTCGGACATGGTGACAGCAGACTACTTCACACCTGAGGAAAGACAAAGAGCTGGATGAGCTGACACGGTTGAAGTAGAACAGGGAGATCATGTTGATATCAAAATGTTAAAAGTTTGATCCCCAGCTAAATCTGTTATGCTTCTCAAATTATCAAACTTCTCAAGTTTTTTTAACTTTTTTTATTAAACCCAAAAAGTGTTACTTTGATAATAAGCAAAAAGCATCAGCCTGCGTACAAAACCCAAAAAGAAATATGTTTCTGCTATTTGCTTACTTGCAAAGAGTTATATGAAAGGATCAATAGCACTGTCTGTACAGTAAATACAAAACTTTAGCAGGCACATACTAGCCTAAGCTTAGGTTAGTTTAGCATACTTTTTTTTTAAATTTAGGGTCACTAGTTTAGACCATAGGCTGTATATAAATGGACGTAGTGTCCGTGACGTCACCCATAGAATTATGAAGAGTTGCCGTGAAGCCCTTAGTAGGCGGAGTCGGCCACTAACGGCTCGACTGTGACGTCAGAGTCTAATCCCGCCTAATCCAAATAAGGGCAAAGAGGCGGAGCCGAGGCAGGACCTGCTGCCTCCGAACTGGAAGTAAACAGAGCTAGCTCAGGCTAAGAAGCTAAGCTAACATGAAATACATGCATACCAAGTTACTGCTAACAGTGTAGTTCCCCTATATAAACGTTACATTCATAATCAAATGAGACAATCTGCAAGAGAATTAGGTATATTTTGTTATTCTTAATGCTTGTCATTCACACGTTGAGAAAAGACGGACCTAACGGAGTGGGCTAGCTCCGGAACGCCGGCTGGAGCTAGCCCCCTGCGGCTCCGTTAGCTCCGGCGGCCACCACTGGGATAATTGGGTCCCCTATTAACCCTCTGGAGTCGGTGGATAATTTTACGTATTTAATCATATATTTCCGATTATAAGGAGTAGAAATATGATTCAGATATCCGCGTAATCGCTGGAAGAGTAGCTTTCCAGCGGTATCTCCTGTGAGACTGTAACCAGGGCACAGTAGCCAATATGGCCGCTCAAAGCAGCTTGACTTTACACTGTGTGGGATTGGTGGATTCGTGTGTCCGTCAAGGAAATCTCGGCCGGCAGCCATCATGGTCTGAAATGACCAATGGACATCGAGAAATCACTAAGGACCTACCCACCAAGTAAACAAAACATAAACCACGTGTCTCCCATCAGTTTACGTCTTTGAGGAGAGAGAGAGAGAGCCAGAGAAAATGGCTAAAAAAAACTTTACAGTTGCCGACTTCGCCAGAGATTTTTTTTCGCTAGCAGCAGTGAAGATAGAGCCTCAGAACCTGAAGTCTTCGACTCTTCTGAAGAAGAAGAATACAAAGACAACAACAAGGATCCATTTGGGCATGGGTAAGTGTAAATATTACAGTAATAGTGTACTGGCAATGTGTGGGGAATACCGCGAAAATGAACAATAGGTGTATTGATATATATTATTTATCGATAGTCATGAACTTTTTATTGGACAAAATAGACTCTCCATTAGCAAACGTTTACTCTGTGTTAACGTTATTTTGGTGTGTAAAAGTGAGATTACATGTGTAGATGATTAAATTAATCATTTATTCGTCCCACAACGGAGACATTTACAGTGACATGTTTTTGCCATCGATTATTTTATCATACTGTTCTGTACAGATGCGACGTTGTAGTCAGATGTAGCCTATGTATATGTGTGTCTGTGATTTTATACTGAATGTAAAGTAACAGGAAATATGTGTGTGTGTGTGTGTGTGTGTGTGAGAGAGAGAGAGAGACTCCTCCAACCTCCCAAACTTTCTTTTTATGTGTGCATTGTTATTTGTGCTTGAGCAACATTTTACTTGAACTTTATTTCAATGAATTTAGTTGTAATTATTGTCCTACGTTTTAATTTGTTTTACAGAGATGTTTCACAGCTGCCTGGGCCTAGTGGCCCACAGGCGGTGTTTATCCAGCAGCCAGAACATCCATCTGTGCCGGCCCCCAGGTCAAGATCTACCGTGGCTCAAGGGCCTTCACCAGAGCCATCAAGGACCAGCAGACCAGCATCACTACAGCTGCCTCCACCTCCATCTGCGGCTGCCACCAGGTCAAGATACACCTCAGCACAAAGGCTCCACCACAGCCATCACCTTCAACCCAGCCAGCAAGGAGGTCTCGTGGAGGTCTCGTATAGCACTTGTACAAACCACCTACACAGCAGCCCATGCACCATCACCCCCATCTTCACAGCAGCCAGACTCACTGTCTTGGAAGACAGACAAAGACCTTGACACTGTCTTGACATTTATAATGAATAGTTGGTTGAAAGTTCTGATGTTCAATATTGTAAATAGTTAGATCTTCCAGTTTCTTATATTTATATAAATAGTTGGTTGATAAAAACATTTATAATAAATTGTTAGTTGAAAAAAAAGGTTGAATGCTCAATTTGTATTTGTACACATCACATGAACCTTGGTATGTAATATGAAGTCATTATTCAGTCCTAATGTATCTCAGTCCCTGCTGTGGTGAAAGTAGAGTGATAAACACCTGTTTTACTCAAAATTCGAATTTAACTTTTTTCATTTTAGACATGAATAACACATTTATATACAGTGTAATTCAAATATTTCACTGCTTTTGTGATCCTAGGACTTTGGTAACCAAATCTAAAACACCAAAACAATTCGATCACATGAGTACATTTGTGTTTTCACAAAAGTTTTGAAGATTTTCCGAAAATCGGATGTCAAATTTTAAGCTTTTGAGCTACTTTATCTCATCAAACAGTGCTCTAAGGTGAGTAATTTGCATATATAGCAATACTAGAGATTGTTCTGAACATTTTGATATGTAACACATGGGTGCCATTTTAGAAGAAATACATTTAAAAGGTGATTTAAGAAAACATCTAAAAATCGAGAAAATACCCTTAGACTCCAGAGGGTTAACATTTGCTCCCGTTTAGCATTATGGGCGTCATAGCCATAGACTATAAAAGTCTTACCCAAGGCTGAATCATAAACTAAAATGTATATGTATGCATAAAGGGTTACGTCCTTAGCTGGCTAATAAGTAAAGTTGGGCATTTTAACATGGGGGTCTATGGAAATTGCTCCTTTCTGCAGCCAGTCCCTAGCGGCCCATGTATGAACTGCAGTGTGTGGCACTTCCGTATTGGCGTCCCGACTCTTCCCCAGAGTTTGCCGCTTGGCTTAGACTCTATTTAATTATGACACAATGTGCCAATATAACCTCTATAGATCACCAATTACCATGTTATACGTTTTTTTGTAACCGTTCCATGCACCGTTCCAAGTAAAAAAACAAATGCTTTCTGTTTTAAAGGCAGTTACATGCTAGCTCCTTGGTGCCCTTGCTGACCAAGTGGTAGATGAATATCTTAAAAATCAGGCCTACTGTTTCGCCGATTTCAGTCTTTGCGCTAAACTAAGTTAAGCTAACCAGCTCCTACTGTAGCTGTAGCTTATCATTTAGCATACAGATTAACCCTAGTTTTAAGCACTGTATACAAAATGTACAAATATTCCTTCAATTAAATACCTTATAGGACATCAACAATCCCATGTATCATATTGGTAAACATTATTTAATAAGATATCTTAAAATTAGGTCTATGTTTTGTATACCCCTGATAGCAAGATACAGCTAAATATTCAACAATTTCTAATCATCTTTCTTTTTCTGGGTTTCAAAAAGTTTTGAATACTTCTGTAGCAGCATGTTATTATGCAATTTCCCTTGCATGGAAATAATATATTGCCATCCAGAGTTTAGAAACATTTAGATAATTATGAATGAGGACATATATGGTTCAGTTCAAGATTTTAAATGTAAAGCATGTGATCAGTTTATAAAACATGCCTAGTGGCGACTGGTCATTAGGGCACGTCCTAATGTCAGAAAAAAAGCTTTTAAAAAAAGGAAATATATAAAATATATTTTAAGATCATGTATGTTTGATCTGATTCGTCTGTATATTACTGTTTTAGTCTGTGTTCTTCTAATTAGTGTCTACAGTGTGTGCCTATTGAGCTGTTTAGAGCCATGTGGGACAAAACCCGATCATGCCCCTCCTTCTCACTGTCTAAGTGAACGGTGGCTGTAAAAACTACACTGCGCATGCTCAGACTATACTGATTGGCTGTAAGTACGTGTGCCGCGAAAAGTGTGGTGTGTGGTGTGTGAAGAGGAGACGCTGCAGTGTCCTAAAAAAAGTCCTAAAAGTCCTAAAACCCGGAAGTAAGATGCGCATGGCTTCCCTCGACAAAAAAGCAATGAGATTTCTCCATAGGATTTTAGAAAATAGCTCGAAATAAGATCTGTGGGAAACAAACCTGTTAGATAAATGCACGTTTTGTTCAGCCGGATAATATCCACATGTCTACCCTACTTTTATAATGTTTGAATCATAAATCTATCGATTAGATTTATGATTCGACTTTTGAAACTATAAGAAGATAAGGAGGACTTTTACAAAAAAGTAATAGAGATTTTTGTCCAGAAGGATAGGCAAATGGACTTCATCTTCAAGTCAAGGTAAGACCGCAATTTTATTGAAAATGGGATCTTACTAAGAGAGAACAATCCAATATTTAAATGATACAATTACATTTTTTGGGTATCCTTTTATTGAACTGTCTGTTTAAAGTTAATCGAAGCATCAGACAAAAAAAGCTTTTGAAAATAATATTATATTTTGATTTAGGTCAAAATATAATATTTGTAAACCTGAAGAGTCAGTGCCTCACCAGCCATGAACCTCACTGCAGAAGCTTATAGACATCTAAGTTTTTTGTGCCCCACCACTTTTGTACATATAAAAACGCCACTGCTAGTATAGATGAAAATACCAAAGGAGTGGTTAGAATCGGCTCTTTTCAGATACATTTAAATTCTGTCTACAATTAGTAATTTTCCAAAAACGAACTAAGAATAGACCAAGTTAGCATCATTTTACTTTCATTTTTGATACTTAAAGTACATTCTGCTGCAAATACCGTTGTACTTCAGTAAAATGTATAGGTAAAAGACCTTGTTATTTTTACGACAGACAGTTAGAGGTCAGAGAGCTCGTACCAAACACCTCATCATAAACTGTTGACTCAGCTGGTTGGGAGGTGTTATCTTCTTTGCAGGTTTGTTCCCACTCATGACTATTTGATCCAAGTTCATAAAAGACCACACATCATCACCACTTATGTCACATGCACTATTTATAGAATATTGAATGCTTCTTTCCTATTGATTTGGTGCTGTTAGTGACTTTATATTCCAAGTAGACATTTTGGGTTACCTCCAGATCACAATGTTCCCCTTCACTCCAGCCTTGGCTGTTATGAGTCATATTGAATCCAAATAATGGGGTGTAACACGCAGGGACAACATGAGAATTGTCCTCTTTTACTATAGTGGTAGAATGCAATGCAGATAGTTTTGGTTTTATTTACCCAGGATAAGAGAAATCTGTCTCTCTCTTTTCCCATTTTGCTTTGGTTACTAAAAGGTATACAACATAATTCAACCCTCAATCACCCCTAAACATCACTGTTAACAGTTTTCAAAGGAACCTCGAATAATTCAAATGAAAAGCAGTATGTATTTTTTCCATACCATTTTTAGAATTTTGAGTGAATTGTAGTGAATAATATTCAGAATTTAGACTCTTAAATACAATGAATACTGGTAAATACATGGGCCATAAAGTAAATAGGACAATATTTTCAATAGTATTTTTTACACATCTCATCTTGGACACATTTTAGATAGGCTACCACTACGTAAAAAGATAAAACATTTATGCATATATATTTTTTTGAATTTGGGTGAACCAACACTTTTATGTGACATGTTTATAGGCTATTCAACTACAATATTAACATACTGTATAGTTCTAATGTATGTCCTTCCTGGCGCAGACCGTTGCTTGAAATATTAGCTATGACTTTTGGTCAAAGTTCAGTCCTATATTTGGGAAATACCTCTCTAATCCGCCCAACCTTTGCCAACCCTATTTAGCATCAACTCCAGGTCCAAAAGGGGGACGAGGGGCATCTCGGCTGGAGACAATGTTGGAGGATGTCTCTTCTCTGTAATCTACATATCATATTTGATATATATATATATATATATAAATATATAAAAGTGTCTTTGGATGACTCCTTCACACTTAACAGTGAGCACAGCTGCAGAGGACTCAGAGGATTAGTTCTGGATCATATTTCTACCCATCAGCTGAGGAACGGTGTCCAAATAGCTGCTTTAATCCCTTGGCTCGGTCCAGAGGGAGGATCCTCGGCACTCTAACAGCCAATCAGCAGCCGCCTTCAACAAACAAGCTCTTTGATCGACTTAGAGCTGACAGCGGCCTCACCTCTGTGTGTCTAGCATTCACTCAGAACATACCGACACTTCAGCACTCTATATATTTAGTGGTTGGTCACCTCATTTATTTTGTATCGGAACACTGAAAATACTGCAAAGTGTTTCATCCTGAAACTAAAACCCGGTGCTGAAACTAATAGATGATGAAACAGGTGAGGCCCCTGATGATAATAACATCCTGAGCCAACTGAGAGCAGATTTAGATTGAAATGCCAATATGAGACATATTTATAGGCCCCCACATCAGTTTGGTGAAGGATGTGACAGCAAACAGACCTTGTGTATCATCACTATCTCAAAACCTCACATCTCTAAGATGCCAGCCTGGTTTTCAGATCGACCATGATGGCTGTTGAAAGTTTAAAGTTCAAAATAACGAATGGGGGTTACAGGAGGAGAATTCTTCGGTGTATGTGTTTGTATAATGTGAATGTATAAAAGATAAAAAAGAGAGGTCTCATTCTGATTGAGAGGCTGAATTTAAACAAAAAATCGGACAACCTAACTAGCTAGTCCATGCAAATCTTTAGATATTCTCACGCTAACAATAGGGAGGAGAATCAGATTTACAAAAACAGAATATGCAGGGGAAAAAAATAATAATATATGCCAATTTCAATTAACAACAATGTAATAAATACATATACATTTAGGGATTCCTAGAATCAGCATTTTCTTTGATTTCTTTTGAAAATAAGATAATGTATTTATGATTCTGGGTTTGGCCTTCTGTATCCCAAGGAAATAAAGCAATTACCAATGCCAAACTTCAGTGCCAATGTGACAACTTCACTGCTTAGAAGTGAATGTAAAACTAATACAGGTAAAAAACTGTGTGATGCCAAATTAAAGATATGGAAAACATTAAAAGTAAAATCCATTTACAGCTGCAGTTCACAGCTTCATAGCTGAACACCTCAATGTCACATAAAGTAGAGGTGCAAACTGCTCTAATTTCACAGAACAGTTGGCAGTATATCACAGTACTTTATTCGCCTAAGATTACTCCAAAACACTTATGTATTTTCCCCCAGAGCTATCAAATGATGGTCTACGTCCTAAAAAAGGTAGATGGAACACATGATTGCATTACATAAAGTGACACTTTCATGACACATTTTACGAGTTAATTGATCTGGTCTCAAGAAACCAAACTGCTGCTCTTGGGACTGTTAACCATCCCAAACATAAACTACACATGTTTGACATGCAGCAGAACATGTCTACGTCTATTTCAAACCTCCCTTCTGGGGTTAGGCCTGAAGAGTGATTTATCTTACACCTCCACAGGCTCTTTTGTCCTCCTGCTTGCAAATGCGACTTTAAAGAAGAAACAAATAGTTGGAAACATGTGGTTAAGTAGTCATTTGAGGTTAGGGTAGGTAAGTGGACATCTTACCTCAGAGAGGGAGAAAAGCTCCTCGGACGATGAAGATGAAGGTCTGTAAGAATCTGCCGGCTCCGCTCAGAGAATAAGTCCTTGTGTTATAGTGATACTTGAGCTCACCAGGCCCTTATTGGCTGGGGGATGAGAGTGAGGTGTGTGTGTAATGTATTTGTTTTTGTGTGGAAAGGATGGGGAGAGGAGTGCTCAGGTTTTGAGAGGGGTAGGCATGACCCTGAAGAAAGAGATGGGTGAAATACTATGGATGGAAGAGGAGGGCTCAGGTTTTGGAAAGGAGCAGCTGAGAAGCTTCTGTTGCTAAATTTACAGTGATAGAAGGCTGAGAGAAGGGGGTTACACATCAGCTTGGCATCCAGACAATGGAGGGAAAGTGTGTGTGTGTGTGTGCGTGTGTGTGTGTGTGTGTTTGTGTGTGTGTGTGTTTGCCATACACTTCATCAACCAGTCAGTCAATGAGTCAGAGTGTGCAGAGTAACACAGTGATAGGGTGTTAATATAACTGGACTACAAACAGAATGTTCTCTGTTGGTCAGTCAACTTCAATGAAGCAGTCTAAAGACACAATAACAATTGTTTGTTGTTCCATCGTATCATCAAAGCTAAAGCCTGCCCCATTTTCAACTGAAGGCGACTCTCGAAGGATACCATTTAACATCCCGCCTACAAAATGCAGACAAAATTCTTTCAATTCTATTATTATGTATTGAATGCCTCAATTGAAATTGCCTGTGTTGAACATTGAACAACTATTATAAAATAAGTTGTAATTCAATTATAAATATAACTGCATTTTGTTATAATTCATTTCATAAACAGTTATTTATTAATTGGTTACACTTCCTTACCAGAGAAGCCATAAGTGAGCAATGGATATAAATGGAAGATTGAGATTATGTTTGTTAAGTATGGACACAGCAAATACATTTTGTGATATATAGGGCTGTCTGACTAACGGGGTCTATCAATATAATGAGGGAATATTTAGAATAACATGGCCGGGTGCTTTCATTAGCCGAAGATACAGTCTTCTTTAATCAAACTGCGTCTTGTTTGGGCAGAAAAGTAGTAACACTCTACTCTGAACAAAGGTAACCGGTGTGACTCGCGGGCATGCACTGGGATTTGCATAACGCGGCATAAAAGGTAAGTAACAGATTAACATGAGTGGGATAGGACTAATCTAGAAGTATTTCTATTTGGAGCGTTTTCCAAATGTGTTAGGTGGGAATATTAAAGACTAACAACTACCCATATTACCAAATCTGTGGCACATTGTGCTCCATGTTGCTAACTTGGTGTTTCTCCGCACTTGCTTATTTCCGTGTCTGTATTCAACGGCCAATTCTGAATGTAAAGTAAAACATAGTTCTGTGAATACATTTCCAGCGCTGCTCCTTCAAAAAAGCCCCCTTTTTAATTTGATACAATTTAATTTGGGAATTATAAAACAAACCAACGACTTAATTCACACTAGTCAAAAGGACTATGGCTTGTGATGGTGTTCTAAAACATAAAAAAATGAACCAACATTATCAGGAGAAGTTTTAACAAAAACGTCAAGTTTCACATACAGTATTACTGCTCGGCAAATAGTTAGTAGTGGTCTCTTTTACCCAACTGATGAGTATACATTTAGATTTTGGGAACCAAGTAGGACGTGTGAAATGTTGGCCCAAATATCTTTATATAAAGTGGGCAAGTATTAAATATTGCAATTTTGTGAAGGTTCGATCTACTTTGAGGGATTTGAAGCTGAGCGGCAATGAGGAGGAGAGAGCTAATCGTCATTTACAGTATTAACTTAAACACAAGGTGATGTGCTGTGTTCACTTGAGGATATCAGAGTAATAGTTAGAGATGTCAGGTTATACTGACAAAGACCAAAATGAATATGTCTCAGCAGCTAGCCAACTAGTAGTTGTGGGTGGGCGGCTATTAAATAGCAACAGAGGGGGAAGCACGAATGGAGTAGCTAATGGTGAACGGCTAGCCAGACCATGTGCTCTGCGTGAGCTAACGCAATGCTCCATTGTATCAGCTAATCTCAGACAGCCCTGGTGGTGAACTGTATACTAACAACCAACTAGAGCTAAATGGAGCGTGAATGTTGCACCTAAATTCATCAGGCTGTAAAGCTAATTGTTTGTTAACACGTTGTATCCTCAACACCTTCGCTAGCTAGCTGCCTAGTGGTGGTTGTTTTTCTGTCAGCTCATTTAGTAGCCCAAATGTATTAATACAGCTTCATGAAAACTTCACAAACGTTTTTGGTAGGAAGAAGCATTAGATACCAAATTTAAAAATAGTATTAAGCTGGAACTACTTTAAACTCATACAGTTAGAGGAGGTTCAAAAGCAGAAGAAGAACACACTTAACTTGTAGTGGTGCTCTCAAATGTGTTGCTGGTGTTAATTAATTAACTGAGATACCAGCTGGCTCACAAGCTAGCTAACATATCAACAGTTAAGTGGAGGGGCCACTGACTGGAGTGCTGCTGCTCAATGCTTCACAACACTGCCACTGGTAGACCAACCCAGTCTCACAGCATTTCGTGTTATAGTCACGACATTTAATCTATTGATTCGTGTTCACCAACACGATTTTCACCTTTTTGTCGTGTCACAGAACGATTTTAAGCAATGTATTTCTATTGGTAGTATGTTTCGTGCCTGCACCACGTCTTTTTGTCCGGTCGGGTCTTGGAAGACCAGAAGCTGTGTGGTTCATAAAAACATGTTCTTACTCGATATCAAGCCACGATTATTGTTTTTATTTTAAGTCGTATAATGTCGGAGTTTTTTTGACGTCCGCAAGGAAAATAAATGGGGCTCAGAGCCTGAGAATAATGAAATCTGTATCTTTTAAATCTTTTTTTCCTTCTGATTTGTTATTCTTTTCTAAATAACACACTGTTATTTACTTAACAATAACACACAATTATCCTTGTTTTTATTTATTTGTTTAATTCTATAATCTCGGGCTTTTTGGCCGTCCGTCAGGAACTGAATTTCAAAATAAAGTCACCGGAAACAGACGTAGGCCTATAAGGGACATTTTGAGCATCATTGCGATACACAGCCACTGAACTGATTACCCAAGATCCTCAGCTATGGTTTAAGCTTGGTGATTGGATGTTTTAGCCGCAATGCACATTGGGATATGGTGTTTATGTGATATGAAATCCCCAAAACATTTCGGAGTTTAGGATGGCCGAAGACACTACACTACCCATAATCCTCAGATATCGTTTGGGACTACAGTCCCGTTGCTTGACAAACCCCGTGATTAATCTTCAAGCTCTGAGATTGGATGTTGGAGTGGCAGTGTGCCAAGGTTACGCCGAGCGTCAGACAGCTCTTTGAAATGGAATGAAACCCACGGCAGACTATCCAAAACTGGACTCGAACGGGTCCAGCCCCCCCCCCCCCCAGAACTACACATGCTGGCTATGTGTTTCGCAACATGTTCTATGGCACGTCTCCACTGGGAATTGTAGTTTTAAAAGACGTTTTCCCCACAATTAGAAGTTGCCAGTATTAAACTGTGTACATCCCTGGAGGTTTAGGAGGGGATAGGAAACACATTGGGGTTATCAAATGTAAAACATATAATTTAATAAATGGGTGAAAATTGCTTGTGTCCATAATGCGCAGCATTAATATATACCCACATGACAGCTCATTGGTACTTTGTAATTCTACTCCACTACAATTCAGAGGTTAACCTGGTATTTTCACTCCACTACATTTATTTGAGTTACTTTGCAGATTCTATAAAGTATAAAGTATATTCATTACTCGTTATTCTCTACTAATAGTTAATAACTTTGTATTATTTATTAGTGTAGGACACTTATGTATATATAACATCTGAAGATGTGTAGTTTTATTCATGTTTTCACATAATTTTACAGGATATTGCTATATTATTTCACATGTTTTACTTCTACACATTAATATCTGATTTGTAAAACATCATAGACAGAAAGGTATATCCGTCATTTAATGGTAAGCTATTGCAATTCTGAATCCATAGATGTGTCTCCCATCACCCAAAACCCCTGACTATTCTCTCAACTCAGTATTTACATTCTTATATTCAAAGAAAATCAGTAATATCTTTAAAAACTACAAGTCCCTGTCTATAAGCTGTGCACCGTTATGGTGTAAATATAGCCTATTTACCGATTGGATCAAATATAAAAGTCAGCCGAGTCAGTGTTGATAATGCAAGGAGACGTATTGTGTGAAGAGAAATTGGAGATGTTGTTTAATTGCTGATATATTTATGATCCACGTCACATATTCAGTTTCGGTGGCATTTCTTTCAGTTTGTCCAGAAGTCTAGGGCTCTATAAATAAAGAACTACGGCAGATGTGTAATATTTAATGCAGCCGAACCGTGTATTACAATGCATTTATGTGATGACTTCCAAAGAGAAAAGCAAGCACACTCGGATTAAAGTATTATTTAATTTTTTGTAAATGTTTTTCGCATTTCATATCGCATAAACACATATCCCAACGTGCATTGCGGCTAAAACATCCACTCACCGAGCTTAAACCATAGCTCAGGATCTTGGGTAATCAGTTCAGTGGGTGTGAATCGCAATAGAGAGGCGAAGTCCCTCCCTTTCCGTTTGTCAATTTAAAAGATAATTTTGCAAGTCAAAATAAAAAAAGATTGTCGTAAAACTGTGAAGTAACACTTTTCTTGGTGTGAAACCGCTCAATGAACTACATCTCCCGTCTCGCACCACACGCCAAGACGGCCATCACGTTGGCACATTTCACTTCTTTCTTTCAGAATGAGGCGAAAAGTATTAAAAGAGGTGAAAATCACTACAAGTCTGTGCATGTTGAGAGCTGTACATACACAAAAGGGGAGTTAGTCGGTTCCGTAAGAACCAGCATGCGGGACCGGGATTCTGAGATTATTAGTCTTTCTAGTTGCGTATTTTTCATAGTCTTATATTTCAACAAACTGTGACTTTTTTGACGTGGAAATAATTTTTTAAGATTGACAAACATCATATGTGTAATTCGTGGCACAATTAAAACGGGATCAAAAGATAGGTTTTCTCTCTTCATTGACTTCAATAAAAAAAAATCTGAAATAAAGTTGTAAAAATAAGGTTAAAAAATACAGATTTCAGTATTCTGAGGCTCTAAGCCCCATTTATTTTCCTCGCGGACGGCAAAAAAACTCCGACATTATACGATTTAAAATAAAAACAATAATCGTGGCTTGATATAGAGTAAGAACATGTTTTTATGAACCCCACAGCTTCCGGTCTTCCAAGACCCGACCGGACAAAAAGACGTGGTGCAGGCACGAAACATACTACCAATAGAAATACATTGCTTAAAATGGTTCTGTGTGACACGAAAAAAAGGGGAAAATTGTGTTGGTGAACACGAATCAATGGATTAAATGTCGGGACTATAACACGAAATGCCGTGAGACTGGTTTGGGTAGACAGAGGCTCTGGTGGAATTACATGTACATTGAGTCTGTGGTAATTTAGGCTTTTTGTACACCTGCTTAAGGCCAGCAAACTATTTATTTTTTTATTATTTGTTAGATACTTTTTTTTATTAAAGTAGAACAATTATTTGCAACACAGTGCCAAATGCGCTTGGTGCTAAAATGCAACCACAATGTTGCTCCACCTACAATGTTACTGTACTTTTACTACTCTACTTTTGTATTTCTGTTGCAAGAACTCAGATCGATAGAATAATCCTCCATTATTCCAGAACAGCAATGGTCTTGTCCCAGCCCACTTCCTTAATAAGCCTCATAGACATAAATTCCACAAGAGGCAGTAAAGTGTTATGATGTAAATGAATACAGGTTGAAAGACAGGCGCCGCATGGCAGCACGTGTTAATAGCAGCAGTTGACATGCGTTGTAACTTCAGTCAAATCACAACTACACACAGTCTAGGTGGTAAATAAAGGAAATGCTCACAGCATTTCAACCCAAACCCTATTAACACACTACAACATTGTACATACAACTTTACCCCCAGCTTTGGGTTAAAACTCCTAAATGTTTTAATCTTTAAATGTGGCAATCATTTATGACTCTCAGGTTTAGTCTATAAGGTGTGCTTATTTGTAGAAAATGTGTAAAGGAAATAGATATTTTGTAAAAATAACTCAGATCTAAATCACTTTATTAAATAGAGCTTCATTATTTAGACTCATAATACATATTGGTCAACCCCCCCAAAACCAAAGCCATGATAGAGGTTTTAATGATAAACAAACCCCTTTATGGTAATTGACCTCATGTACTGATTACCTACTGAATTTCTCCTTGCTGGTCTGCTGAGCAGACACAAACAACCTCCTTCCCTCAGGTGGAGGTATCCGCAGATCGCCTGTAGGGGCTGCACCTCAGCCATCTCAGGTGGCCTGGAAACCCCCTGCCCTTGCAACACACACTGAAGGCAACTGTTTTATTTTTGGAATGGCCACGGCACGGTGGCTCGCTCCCTAAGGCTTCAGTTCACTTCAGGATGAGTGGCCCTGTGGCACTCTGAGCCGGGATTAACAAGCAGAGAGCAGTTTGTCCCGACAGCCGCTCGCCAAAGGTAAACCAGTCAAACTCAGTGTCTGTTGATTGCCAAGATGGTGGTACTGCAGAGTTGTCCTGACCAATTAGCCGGGTGCTAACCTGGAAACGGTGCATTGGATTTGATAGAAGCACGTGCACTGTCTGAAATCTTAAACGCATGATGCATTTCAGACATAATATCTGTGAGAGGAAGTGATTGCAAAGCATTGTTTACCATGTTGTATGATTAATGACAGGTAAATGTATGCATGAGACACAGATAAACAAATCCTGCACTTTAATTATAATGGCATTTCACTTTTAGTTTTAAAATATTCCCTTTTTTTCTGTTGCTCACTTTTACACCAAACTTCTTTTTTTGTGCAGTCTGCCCAACAAAACAACACCTATTTCCTTTCCCCTCTAAGGTAAGTGCTGCTCAGATTGATATTGAAGCAATGTGATGGTTACCAAAGAGCTTGATCTCCATTCTGTTTAAAAAAGTTCTTTAAAGCTGGAAAGATAGAGGTCATGGCCAACAGCTATCACCAAGCTAATCTTATACTTTCCCCTTTTGAGCTGCCCCAATAGAAGCCTCCCAGATATCCAACCCCAGAGCCATAAAAGGGGGACTTCTCATGTGTCAGCTGCCGTCCTTGTCACTGTGACTGGAGGAGTCCCTTTGACAACAGGGATTCATGTTAAACATTTGTCCATACCTAGGCCAAACCCTCTCAGCTTTTGTTTTTCAAGACAGGGACAACAACTCCCAGGAGTTATATCTATGTTGCAACTTCCACACTTTGAATATTTAGAACAGATGTTGTTGCAGAAAATAGCCCATTGGGTAAAACTATCCTTCTTTCAGATCAAACTATTACTAACATTACATAATAGGACAATTTCAGATAATCATCACTCTGAAACACAAGGATAAGCTCACAGTCGGAGCAGCTCTGAGAGGATTTGGGTTCCGGATAGATTTACAGCAGCAGGCTGTTTGTGTGAGTGCGGGACAGCAGGTGCTCGGTGTCAGGATGTTTGCTCTTATTTCCCCAGGGTCTAAAATAAGAACGTAGACCTTATCTAATGTTACCCAGAGATAAACTCCAATATTCAGACATAAAGGAAACAATTCAGCTCAGGTTGCCTCTTTAGTAAACCAAGTCAAAGGATGTTAAATGTCAGTCACATTTGAATATTAAATATATTCTGTTTTCACACGTCATATGTGAAAATCAACTGCGGCGAAAACTACAAACCTAATATCATCTTTATCTATTTAAATTCTGGATGCAGAGGAATGTGTGTAAGATTTATTGTCAGTTTATTATGCTTCTGACCTTTGACCTTCTTATAGTTTGCTTGTAATGCTAATGAGGAATTTGGTCCAGATTTACTGCTGCACACATTTCAAATTTACTTTGGTTATGAAGATTAGCTTAGTGCTGCCACCCAGCACAAACCGAGTCACCCTCCTGTAACTGTCAATCATCCTCCTTCGAGTTTACTTTTATTTCCTGCAGAGGTCATTTTTAAATCCGACAGTCTCCTTGAGAAACTATTTTCACAAGTAGTTTGTCATCATTTCAAAGAAGCCTGGCCATAAGTTATAGCTTTACATGCCTTTCTATTTCCAATTGTGACGCTCCTTGTAGCCGAGCAACTTCTTCAGGACCCAATTAAGAATCTTAAACCTGCTAATGAGCTGGTTGTCATGAGAGCTCATAGTTTTCTATAGCCAGCTGCCGACTTGTCTCTGAGCCATTTGCACAGGTTAAATCAGTGCAGTTGGGAAGCAGCTGTATACACTATACTAGGAACAAAGTAGGAGACAATAAGTTTGCCTACACATTAAACGACAAAGGAAGCAAAGACAGACACCATCCAATAGCTAAATTATTGATAAGACAAACAACATAAATGTGTTTAATTGATATGATTTCAGCTTAGTAAAAGGTCTACTGAATACATAGGAAGTACAAACTGAAAAAGACTCACTCTTTACTTCACTACCTGCTGTAAAATGAGAAGTGTCACAAGAGATGTATCATTAGAAAATGATTTTTAAGCTTACTTTAAGTTTGAATAACAGAAAATTATGAAGTGATAGTGGCTACTATTTGTGCAGTATCAATGTTGGTTTTCAGAATCCAAAAAGTCCAGCATCTGTTTCACAGATCTTCATAGAATTGTCCAGCTGAAAAGGGAAAAGATATGTCTTATTAAAAACATGTATATATTTGTTATTCAAACACAAAGAATGACCTTAATCAAATACCTCAGTGATTATTTTTGACAGCTCCTGAGATGTCTGAATGAAATAGTACTTTCCTATATGACTCTGTATTGGAATAAAACTCAACATTTCCGACTGCTTAGTGATTAAAACATAATTGAATGCAACCGGCAACTCTTTACATTCCTGCTCTGATGTCATAAAAGATAATACCAAAACAGCAAGGTGATGCGTTACCTTTTCATGAGAAGTTTTGTTGGATCGTTACTTTAATCTCTAATTTGTATTTTTGGGAAATAATTGACTCATTATTAATTTTGAGGACAAATGGTGTTAAAAGCACCATTTGTGCTTTTAACAGCAACTTTGATAAAACTGACTTTTACCTGACCGACTTCTTTTGATTAATAATTTGCAGGTTTTGTGTTTTGTTGTTATTCTAGAAGTAGATTTTTGGATGAAAACATATTGAGTGATTTTTCTCATCTGTCTTGCAGGAGTCTGAATAATGCTGATGGATGTCGGCTACAGTAACGGGCTGGAGCCTGACCTTTCCCAGCCATATCCTCCGCCCTTGATGCCAAAACCAGGCAAAGACAACGCAAGGCTTCAAAAACTCAAGAAGAAGAGAGCCAAGAAAAAAAATAGTCTCTCTCAGACACCCATCCCCTTTCGCTCCTGTTTGTCACCTGTCAACGAAGCAAGCACAGACCTTGAGCACAGTGACCAGTCCAGCCCACCAAGGACACCGGAATCAGTCTACATTGCAGACCCTTCAGTGTCCAGTTTCCCTTTTGACTCCTTCTGTGATCCGTCCGCATCTGCATTCCCTCACCCTCGGAGTAGCCCCTACCAGAAAACTGGCAGCTTCCACACTCAGTCCTATATAGGTCAGATCAGGACTTCTGAGGAGCAGGTGGCTCCGCTGTATGAGTGCTCCTCTTTCTTATTTGATGACATGACTCCTTTCATTATGCCACCTTCGATTACACCACCCCAATCACCACCTAAGCAGGTTCCACGAAACCCTCTTGCTTTCAATTCAAACCAGACACCAAATTCCCATTGGTCCGTCACAACAGTCCCTCCAGCCTCTGTGTCGCAATCCAGCCCTAAAATATCAACTCACAGTCTGACCCTATCCCCAGCCGCCCCCAACTGTGACCCAGGACCAGCTCCTTCTCTGGTTGCAGACCTTCCTCCTCCTCAAGCACTGCTATCAGTTTCAAATTCTCAGATACAACCTATTATTTCTAGCCAGAGGGAGACAAACGCCTGTTCAAAAGACAACCCTCAAAGCCTCCTAGCCTCTTGGACTACAAGACCTAGTGATAATGGCAACTTTGTTCCAAGCCACATGTCTCCGGAGATAACCGCCTCAAAAATATCACTGGTTGATGCAGTGAAAGACACAAAGCCTGATGCCACACAAAACAGGGTTTACACATCCAAGGCAACATTTTATGAGATCTCTAAACCTCCCTCCATGCAGGACCTTATAGTTATAAATCCAAACTACCAGGCAGCATTGTTTTCTGACACACTAAGAAAGAAAACAGATGTGTCAGTGGTGGAAACAGATGAAACACTGAGTGTGCCAATGTCCCAATGTGGAAGATCTAAGACTACTTATTGTGCACCGGCTCGAGTTTCCACACCTTTCATTGAAATATCCAAACCTATCCCCCTTTTATTCGCTGCTTTCAACTCATCCCAAGATCTACAAGCTCCTGCAATTCCAGAAGAAGCTCTGAGACAGAAATCAGTGATTCAAACAAGTGGTACAATTGAACCTCCAGCTGCCATAGAAGAACAGAATCACATTGATTACATTAGTAATATCAGACAAGCCAGCAATTACAAAGAGATAAATGTTCAAAATACAAGGAGTACAATAAATCTAAGCTTTGCTAATACTGAGCTGTACCCCAGAGAGAACTTGTCATCAAGTATGACTGCACTTGACTCTGCCATGGTAAAACCAACACTAATACAACCAGTCATCCTTAAGCTACAAACAAACCCTGTTTTGGAAAGTGGAGCTACAACTTTACCAACGGTCCCATCATTTTTATCCACTGTACCAAACCTCAACCCTACGCCAGTGATTTTAATGCAAGCACCATCTAGTCCAAGCCCCATTATCCCTTATCATCCTCCTGCGGTCAATGCTCGCAAGTCTTTGTCATCACTTTTGGAGAGTCAAATGTCATTAGCAACCTCAAAGCCCAAACCAAGATCAACATATTACGGGCTTACTCCAACTCAGTATGCGGCCTATGGTGGGATAAAGACTGCTGCATCACATTACAGCCCTGCACCCCTCCGTGCAAATGAAACCTCTTCAGACAAAACACAGTCAGCTGTAGCTGTAGATGGAACAGACCTCTCAAAGCCTGATTCAACAAAACAACTGAATGGATATCAAGATCAACCATCTTCAATGGAGGTTTCTACTGCTAACATTTTAAAACCCATAAGGGATTCTGAGATTCCAGCTGATCGGACCATACTAAGTAGCAATGATGTGTTTGAGATCGGGTCAGAAGCTCAAAGTATTGGAATACAATCACTTAAAACATCTAAGGTGGACACAATAAAACCAGAGCTTCCTCTTGGCTTGGCACAGCAATCAATGCAACAATCCACAAGTGACTTATCCACACCAAAAGCCTCATTCTCTGAGGCTCCAATACCAATGCCTAAAGCAGGTGAGGTACACACACAAAATACGGCACTATTTTCTATAAAGGCAGAGATAAATACTAATCCATGCTTTACTGATAGCAGTAGTCTATCAAGTTGTTCCTCACCCTTAGTGAAAGTAGATTCAAATGCAGAAACATATCATGGTTCAAAGGGGAAAGATGCCATAGAGAAAGGTGTTTATCTCGAGAAAATACCTACAAAAGTAGAATCCAAGATCACCAATTACAAACTAACAGAACAAGTACAGATAGCTTCGGTGAAGTCTTACCAGACTGCTAATGGAGTCAGTTCATCAACAGCAAATGGTCTGAATGTTCAACAAACTGACAAGCCTGTTAAAAACCAAGCTGACCGTGAAAAAAGTATTCAGTCTCTTGCCACAGATTTAGAGCCCAAAAACACAGGAAGGGCCATCATAAATGGTACATTTATCACAGGATTACAACAAGCCACCAATCTGATTTCAGGAACACCACTGCCCAGTAGAGGGACTCCTGAAACTGTTTTACATACACACAAAGAAGAAGTTAATCAGTGTTTCAAAGCAAGCAGTGGAGTTCCCTTACCCAATAAGGCATCCACTGCAGAACTTACTCATGACAAAACAAATAACGGGTCCAATTTCTCAAATATATTCTCCAAAGAATCAATTACCACTACCACAGGACCCATTTTTCCTCACAAACCTGTTATATCATCTGTATGTTCCTCACAGTATAGTATCTGCACAGCATCTGCAGCTGTCCAAAGCACAAACATCAATCAACAACTCAGCACTAAAGTTAAAATTAATAGAAAAAGTCAAGTGGAAGGCAACAAGATACATTTGCCTGAAGGTCTCTTAACATTTTCTCAAGCACCAAGTGTACCTAATACACCTGCTGTAAATTATAACTTAATGGGCAAACCTACAAGAGCAATCACACTACCTGACTTTTCTGTCACTGCAACCAAATCACCCAATATGTCAGAAATGACCTCGAATGTGCCCACAAAAGAGTCCCCAAAACTAACCAAATCTGTTGAGAATGTACATCCAACTCCACAGAGTAGCAATGTATCCAATGGCAACCATAACGTTGTTCAAGAAGCAGGTTACTACACAAACTCAAGCAGAGCCATAGTAAAGACCACACAAGCAATTGAGACAAGTGTAAGCATCCCTGCTAAAGTTGCAATACTATCAAGCCAAGTCAATACAGAGCCTAAACTCCCCAACTCTAATAGTTCTGAAACTAACAGAGTCTGTAACTCAATATTTGATAAAGATTTTGAATCCCTATCCACTAATGCTATAGTAGACATATTGACTGGAAAAACACCAACACATTGTATTCCCAGTCTACCTTTAAGAGCAGAAAGCATTCAAATACAATGGGGTATTGAAACAAGACCAGGTTCTAATTGTTTTAAAGGAAACACAATGCAGCATATGCCTAGCAGTGAAACCAAACGGTCAAACAAACCATCTTCCAAACTCTCCAACAAACCATCTGCCAAATCTCCAAACAAGCAGTCCGCAGGATTACCAACTGTCAGCAAGACTTCCACAGAGTCAGCTGGAAAACCAGGAAATGTAGATACTATTCAACACAGTAGACCTGCTGCAGAAACATTACAGTCAAACGAATCCTTTCATTGCAGCAATGTCCACAATGTTCTTGCAATTGAAAAAAGTCTTAGCATCCCTGCTAAAGGTGCAATACTTGCAAGCCAAGTTAATACAGAAACTAAACTCCCCAATTATTATAGTTTTGAAACTAATAGAGTCGGCAACTCCACATTAGACAGAGAATTGCAATCACTATCCATCATTAATGAAGTAGACTTATTGAGAGAAACAACACCAACAGAGTGTATTCCAAGTCTACCTATTACAGCAGAAATTATTCCAACACAATGTGGTATTGAAACAAGACCAGCTTCTAATCTTTTAAAAGGAAACACAATGCCACACATGCCCAGCAGGGAAACCAAACCGTCCAACAAACCGTCTTCCAAACCGTCTTCCAAACCGTCCAACAAAACGTCCAGTAAACAGTCTGCAGAATTACCAACTTTCAGCAAGACTTTCACGGTCTCAGCTGGACAGCCAGAAAATGTATATGCTATTCAACACAGTAGACCTGTTGCAGAAAAGTTACAGTCAGACAAATACTTTTGTGACAGCAATGTCAGCAATATTCTTGCAATTGAAACAAGTCTTAGAACCCCTGCGAAAGGTGCAATACTGTCTAACCAAGTTAATATAGAACCTAAACTCCCCACATTTAATAGTTTTGAAACTAACATAGTTGGCAACACACAATTAGAAACAGAATTGCAATCACTATTCACCAATGATAAAGTTGACTTAATGACAGGAAAAGCACCAATAGAGTCTATTCTCAGTATACCTATTAGAGCAGAAAGCATTCAAAGACCTGGCATTGAAACAACACCCGCTTCTAATCTTTTAAAAGAAAATACAGTGCTGCACATGCCTAGCAGTGAAACCAAACAGTCCAACAAACCGTCTGCTGGATTACCAACAGTCAGTAAGACTTTCGCAGACTCAGATGGACAACCAGGAAATGTAGAGACTATTCAACCCACTAGTCCTGCTGCTGAACTGTTAGAGTCATACATATCCTCTGGGGGCAGCAATATCCACAGTATTGTTTCCACTGAAACCAAAGTCGCTGACACGCTTCATAGTGTGCCTATTACAGACCGAGCAGTGATTAATAAACCATCTTTTAGTTCTGTGCAGGCCAGTAAAACTATCATGCCGTCTAGCCCTACAATGAGGCATGTCAGACAAAGAAGCCCTCAGCTGAGATCAGACGGGACTGAGATTCGACAGCAAGCCCTACATGCAAATCCTGCTCATGGCTATGTTGCTCAAACAAAAAATTACACAAATGTACAAGTAGATAGTAAACACACTGCCAACATTATTACTGAACATGGATCCTATGAGACTTCTGCAGATCAATGTCTTGCTAAAAACACTGTAATAGAACCAACCCCTCACACCAAGCCAATACAAGTCAATAGATTTATTAAAAGTCCACCTATAAGGACAACACATTCTGTAACATCTAAGACTGGGACAAGTGCTTTCTCCTCTTCTGGTTACGTCATGGCTAACATGTCTAGTATCAGTGTAGAACAGCAAAGCATTGCTAGTCAAATCGCGTCGTCTCAGGATACTTTTCAAACCACTATACATTCTGTGAGCTCTCAGACTGGAGTGAAACAGTTGAGGCAATCAGTCACTGAAACAAAGACATCTGTAGAAAATAAAATTCACACTGACAACACTCAAATCGTCTCAAACATTAATTCAACTAACCATGCTTTCGCAAATATTCAAACCCTTGCCAAAGCCAACAATGATGCTAAAGACACACTAATCGCTCCTAAAGTAACTAAACCTTGGGCCTCTCCTCTACCTGAGCCAAAATGGCGTACTACACAGATTCGGACCTATACTCCAACCTTGCCCCCATCTTCTCCAACTCCGGTTTCTTTAAAGCATAAAAATGAAAATAAACCTTTGCCCGTCACTGCGAAAGATCAGACAAAACCTCGCTATACATCTCTTCAAAATAATACACCTACTAACATTGTTGAGCCATCTGCGAAATCATTAACAGATAATATCAGAAAACGAGACAGAAAACCACCCACAACTAAGGATGTTTCTTCAGTCATGAATCACAATGCTGAGGTTAATGTAGATTCACAATTGAAAATGATCAAAACAAAGGTAGAAACTAATTGTAGTAAGGAAGAAACAATCTCGTCACTGAACAGTTTTTCTAGCACTCCAATACAATCTGCTGTTCATGTTTCAAACAAACCGACTCTAAAAACACAGCCTCATGATCCACACATAGAATCAAGACCTTCCTCTGTCCCTGTAGAAACAAAATTATCAGATGCAAATTCGGATACTTTAAAGTCTACCCCCAATCAGGGCCAGATTAGCATGCACAACAGAAATGTTCAGCCTTCAACAGAGCTACCACTAGAGAACATTTCCCCTGCAAAGCCAGCAACAGATACTGTCATGAAACCATCCATAGTTAAAGCCGCTGTGATTGACTCTGCCACTCCCGCCCCTCTGCCTCAGGCCTCAGTCTCTGTCAAAGCTCCATCCCCAAACAGAGGAATGTCACCGCCATCTCCGCAAAAAACTGGGCTCAAAGAGAAGGAAGTTCTGAGGACCAAAGCTTCAGCTGCGCCGACGGAAGCCCAGGCAGACAACCCCTCCACGAAGTCAGCGACATCAACTGCATCTTCAACTGATGACAAGAAGGATGTGACAGCATCAGCTCAGCCCAAAGCACCCCAGAAGCTAAAAGGCCTAAAGGGGAAGCTAAGTGGATGGACACGGCTCAAGAAACACATGGTCGTGGAGCCAGAGGAACCTACGTTTCCAATGCTGGAGATCAAATCACAGGTTGATTCCACTGCCAGCAATGAGATAACAGATCAGGGTGGTGATAAGTTGTCCCCAGACCAATGTGCTCATCGAGAAGTGATTAGTGACAAAGAAGGTCCCAGGGCATTAAGGATGTGGGATGCCCTGCTCTTTCAGATGTTCTCAACAAAAGAAAGAATCATTCAACAGCTCAACACCACCAAGAAAGATTCAGAGAAGAAAAAGGAACCTAAAGACAATCAAGCAGAAGTTCCTTCTTTTGTCAACCGCCTTCCGATTTTGTTGTACAGCCCCCGTTTTGATGCTAGGAAGCTTAAAGAGGCGGCAGAGAAGCCACTCTCGAAAATAGCAGCAGTGTTTGAAAAGGGACTGATCAAACGCAAATCTCAGGAAGATGAACAAAAGGACTTCAACAGGAAAGCGAGAGGATTTGGTTCAACAAACTCTACAGATATATAACTTGATGTGTTGCAAAAGTATCTTTTGGAATGGCAATGATTGGTAGTGTGTGGCGAGAGAATAAAAACAAAAGTGGATTTAGTTCATTTAATAATTATAAATAAGGGCTGAAGTGAGGAGTTTGATTATTTAAGAGGGGCAACAAAGTATGATTGATTTATTAGAACCTATAAGTTGTAGTTGTATGTGTACAAGTAAATATGTATGATATATTATAACTCTAAAAAGTAACGGATAAAAACACAGTGGTGGTATAGGTGAGGAATCATTGCACTTAAAAGTAGTAAATATGACAATAAAGAAACAAGATAGACGATGAAAGCAAGGAATATTATGTACGCTGCAACTTTACTTGGTTGGATTGTTCTTTTTTCATTTGATGATAGTGTAGTTGTGGAGTTGAATGCATGATGTGTAGATACATTGATTGATAATAGATTGTTTCATTTGTAACGCTTCCTTTTTCTATTTTTTCTAAAGAAAGTAAAGCTTTCATTGTACTCCGCTGGTAGGCAGTCTTTAATATCTGTAATAAATAGGACTTTTACATTCCTGGAACAACAGGGCAGTTGGATTTGAAAGAAGGAAAAAAGGCTTGAAGGTATAAACAGAACAGAAGAAGGTTTCTGCAAGGTATGGATGGAAATTAATCGGCAGATGTTCAGGCTGCCGACCAGAGCAGGAAACTACAACCACACAGGCTGGTACAAAAGAAATAAGGATCCCACAGGAGGTCAAAGTTTAAATTTGGTAAATTGAGTAAATACTTTCAAAACAAATTGTCATTAGCCTCCGCTCAGTTTATATTAAGTGCTAATTAGCAAATGTTAGCATGCTAATGCTATAAACGTAACGTAATGGGCAATGTAACGTACATTGCCCAGCCATAGCATATCCAAAGGGATACAGAGTCTGAATTCTGTTTTATAATTAAAAGTACCGTTTTCTATCGTTTAGTAAGTTGGAGATCCATTGTGACCTCGCAACCTCAATGAAATAGAGATAAACTAATTTACCCTGTTGTGGTTTGTAATTTTTTGCCTTGTGGTGGATTGTCCAGGACTTGTTGGATGTAGAAGTGGATGCCAATGAATGATGAACATGATGATGACAATGATGATGCTGAGTCCTGCTGTAGGAAGACAGACTAACTAAATATTGAGGGATAGCTAGAGAATAAGTACAGATATTAGAAGATGAGTGGGGCACTCATTTTGAGGATTTGGTGCTGCCATAGCAAGCATTTGCATGTTAGTTTTGAACCTTTTTGTCTCTATATTTCGATTTAAAAAAATAGCTGTTTTCCCAAAGATGATCATCCATATGTGGAATTTCATGTGAGGTGGACTTCCTAAAGCTACACAAAGCCCCATTTATTACTCGAATGCTCAAGCCATAACATGTTTTATATTAACTGTGTGATCAAAGGTGCATAAAGTTAAATGTGAAACTTTTGTCTTGTATTTCCCCTTTCTTTAACACATATATTTGATTGCTTTTACTTATAGATTGTCAGACAAAGAAACAAAGTACCAAATAATAAGAACTAAATTCAACTGTAGCTTTAAAAGGAGACACAGACATCACTGCTGAAAAGTAAATGGTTAAAGTATAATGTCTGTGGTTCTTTATATTTGTGTTATTGTCAACTACTTCCATGAAGGGACCAGAACCAACAGTGTTAGTACTCTCTGACTTCCCAGTGTTATATAGGAATTCAGTCTTAAGCCGCCCCGCCCCTACTGACAATGAAAACCTATAGTGATGACTCACACACATACTCTTTAGTTTTTTAAAAGTTCAAACAATTTCCATAACTTTTATTTTTGTTTTAAAACATTAACTCAAACAGTGGGAGATAGTACATTTGTGGAGGACTATTTTAAGCCGCAGGTTAATCCACGTTTGCTGCAGTAATAGAAACCATCAACAGGCGGTTTGTGATCCCTAGGGATCTCTAGGGATCACAAATGGTCTGTTACCCATGAAACCTTGAGCTCTTAAGCTAGCAACAGACAGTATGCACCATACAAAGGTGTGTCTATGCATGGTACTCAAGGCCACAACATTTTGTTGAAGGCCAGTTTATTATGCAGCCCAACTGTACATATTTAGTGGGGGTTCCTGCTATGTATTTATTTCAGCTAAGGTTGCCTTTGGCTGAAACACAGTGTGAAACCCCTGTTTTACTAATTGTTTGTATATGGGATTGAGTATGTGAGTATTCATGGTAATGAAGGAACATGTTTTTCAGTGCAATACTTTGAGACAATAACAATACTTGTTAGTACATCTTTCTTTTTGGGTGTTGGTCTTTTCATGGGATGTTCTGACTATAACAACATACAGAATATATTGAGACTTGACTTGTTTTTGGAGGACAGTTTGTAAAATATAATCTTTTGAATTAGTTAATGTTTCATTTTAATTCCTTTTTTTGGTAATAAACATTGTTTAGGCCAATTTAATGTTAGTGTCTATACTTGACTATTCTTTATATAAATAACATTTATCTTCAAGCTAGTTTTGCAGGTTAAATCAAACAATAAGTCTCTAAATATGTGGCACATTTTGACTATTAATTATATGAAAGATGAAAAAATTGATTAATAAAGAAGTCCTTAATAAATATAATAATAACAACAACAAAGTTACAAGCATAGTAACAATCCAACGTAAATGGATGTAGTCTTACCTGACTGGCAGTTTGCATCTTCACTGTTGCTGTCCACAGGAACCTTCTCATACTTGCCGTGACCCATCACCACAAACTTAGATCTTTTCCCAGTTGAACTTTCCTGGAATTCAGTTAATATATCAGTTATCAAAACAGATTCATAGACATTATTCAACAACTTTAGTGTGGCCTTATTCATCTGAAACTTTTAACATCCAACAATATGTGACAGTTTATGACTTAATTGCAGGTATAATAATAATACATGTTATTTTTATAGCGCTTTTCCTGGTGCTCAAACCACTTTACAAGCAAGTAAAGAAGGAAAATAACAACAAAAGTAAAAAGTGCTAAGCTAGGTAGAATAGGAGCAAGGGGTAAGTGGATTAGCAGTTGAAGGCAAGAGTGAAAAGGTGAGTTTTGAGTGATTTTTGTAGTCTTACATTGGTATGAGTTGTAAGCACAGACTTTATATAAAAGGTTGTGAGCATTCAAACCAAATAGTGTTTTTCTGGTCTAAACAAGTCATGCCAGTGTTTACAATATAGAGTAATTATACATTTTAGAGAAGAAAACAATTATTTAAAAAATAACCCATTCGAATAACAACAGGACTCTGAAGGGAGCTTATTCACAACTTGGAGCTCTAGACCCCCGTGGAGTATTCAAACTAATGTGAGGGGTCTCAAGATAACAACAGCTACATTTGATTTTTCTGTTAAAAAACACAGACCATCTGTTTTATTGTAACAGGGCCCTAACAATTCTAAAGATACAATCAAATGGGAACTCTTCTTTGGTGGAACTGATCATAATATATTTCCACGCTCAGCCATAGGCAGTGACAGCAGGGTCACAAATAGACATTATCTCATTGTAAAGGATCGAGAGCCAAAAGGTTGGGAAATACTGCAGTAGGAGGTCCCGGTCCCCAGCCATGGAACTACACGTATACAACCAATTTCTTTGTCCACATCTGGTTTTGAATGAGGCTATAAAACCCTCAATGTTTCCCACTGTCTCCTTACAGTGTAATGGTAAAGAAAGCAGAGTTATGAGAGTATGAGATTTTAACAAACTATCCTCGGTCAGCTCTGAACATTAAATGGTGCATTAGAAAAACAATGCTATTCAATTAATTTAAAGCTTATTAGATGTAGGTGAACTCTAGCCTTTAATTCTTATGTTTTAAAACAACACTGTGTTTCATGTACTGCAAATATAGCAACATACAGTACACAGTTTGTCATCTCTGCAGCCACAAGGGGGCAGACTCTCACTGACTGCTCTGTTCAGCTGAGTTGAAATGATTTACACCAGATGAAAAAAGATGGGTGTGGTTGCATAGTGGGGAGGAATTCTTCTTGAATAGTGTCATAAAACAACATGTATATGAAAGTTAAGGAAGGGGGAGATTACATTTGATAGAAATAAACAGTTGTTCCAAAGCTCATGTCACAGAACTGAAAAAGGATCAGTTCATGGGTGAAAAGCTTTGTGAATCGTGTCAGACATGATACAAAAAAGCAAGACAGTGAAGCAGAGACAAGTATCAAACAATCATGTTCATTGAGGATCAAATTCAGACTTACTCCTTGTCTAAAAGGTGAGCTGCACCTGCTCCCATCTTCACCTTCTTTCACCCACTGATTAATGAGATTGGCCACGCCCACTTTTAAACCATCTGCATCCTGAGAAAGATAAGAGGAAATATTATAATATTTGTAATTCTGTATGTTTCAAGTTCACCTACATACATGTAGGTACATACATAAACACATGGTGTATGTTTAAATTAAATCAAATTCTAGACCTTTCCTGGACAAAATATCATATTATTTCTGATGTAAGACTTCATGTGTCATAAATAGTTCAAATTCATTAATGTTTAAACTGGAATCTATGTAACAATGTTAAAGGGGCCCTAATGTAGTTCATATTTGCATTTGTGTCTCTACTGTGACATGTCTCCATCCTTTAATGTTGTGCTGCAGCACCTCTTTTCACCCTCTGTCTGAAACCAGAGCCCAGTCTGCTCTGATTGGTTAACTGGTCGGCTGTGTTGTGATTGGTCAAGAGCTCAGAGATGTCCCGACCCTTAGCCTATCACGTACAATGTGTTGGAGTGGTAGCCTATAGAAGCACGTCAAACGGCAGCATTTCGGGCAGGGGGGGAGTGTGTGGGAGAGAAACCCCCTCTGGAGGGAACTTTGGGATTCAAGCCTTTGCAGACCATTTACATGCACTAAAACCTAAGGGAAAACCCCAAGAAGCATTTAAGGGCTTATTTAGAATAAAATATTGCACATAAAAGATTTATGGTCATGGAGACAATGATAAGCTTCTGCCTGTTTTTTCATTTGGATTTGTAATAGAACACAACATTAACAAACAGGAAAATTAAACTTCTGAACAATTCGTCAAAAAACCTAAGTAGATGAGCAGTTATTTATCAGTTATTTATCAGTTTAACTGTAAAAAGGTAAATTAGGATAAAGAAAGAAACGTCATCATTTACCTTAGATGGTGTGACTGAGGTGGCGTTTTGCTTCCAGGCTTCCCCGGCCTCAAACAGGTTCTTCTTGGACGAGACGGCTTCAGTGGGACTCGTCAGGTCCGTCAGCACCTGGCTGCCGGACCTGCCTTCCTTAGAGGCGACCTGTGAATGAGATCCGGTTTGAGAGTTTAACATAATGAGACACAGAAATTGGGTATCTTCCATATTGTAGTTCAACAGTATGCTGGTTCTTCACACAGATTATTTATTCAGAATTTGATCTCATTGTCGGAATATTATGGTTTCTCTTAGAGTCAAACAAAGATGCATTATCCTAAACTGTGATATAGTACTGGCAGTTTTTGGAAGTACTGCAAGGGTTCTCAAAAAAGTCAATAAAATAAAAAAGAACTATTGAAAAGAGTCACTCAGTGGGGTTTCACCTCGAGAGCACGAGTGTACAGCTCCAGTTTCTTGTCAATCTTTGAAACAGCAACAGGTGACAGCGTCTTCTTTATGCTGCCGGTGCTTTAGGAGAATGGATACGTGTTAAGAGTGAAAGTATATAACTGTGAGAAATCTGATGATGTAAAAGTATATTCTTTTATATCATTAATAATGTAAAACAAGATAAGCAGCAGGGTGTTTGATAAGCAGATCAGAGTAGACCTCCTTCTCAACTTCTCAACTTCTGCACTTTATATTTTGTACATGGAACTTTTTTTTTATTCCTAGATTTATTCTTATAACATTTCCATAAGATGGTGCAGCACCGGAAACAACATTCTTTTAAATCTACTTCACAAGAAATGTTCACACACTTACCTTTTCCTCAGTGATTCAGTTCTCTCTATGATCTAAGGAAAGAGACAATGAAAGGTTAAAACTCACAGGGATTATTACACATGTATGGGATTTGACCTTCAGTAGCAGACTTTTTATTTAAGCACCTATAAACCGGCACAAAGTTGTAATTTCATTTTTTCTCACAGATCAAGACAGAAACGTATGTTCCTAGATTGAGGGTGAGCGTGTGGAAACCCCCCAAGATCCGGAACAGGATTAACCGTTCAAGGTGTTGTTTACTCAGCTTTCCAGCTAACTTGGTAGTCCTGGAGACAGCGCTCTTTAGTTTTATCATTACATTGTTACCTATTAGACGCTATTACCCAAAGCGACTTACATACTGTATACTCCATACTGTGCACAATCCCAACAGGAGCAATTTAGGGTGAAGTGTCTTGCCCAAGGACTCTGTGTTTGTTTATGTGATTGAGCTT